TCCTCTTCAGTTTGTGCATTTCTGGCAATATTTTGCAGTCCCTTTATACCATTGATAGGCCTTCTTAGATTGGCCCCAGTTTGTCTTTTATGAACTTTATAGTTTTGGGCTTTATTCCCTGGTCTCTGATCCACCTGAAGTTGATTTTTGTGTATGCTTTGAGATGTAGAACCTGTTTCTGCTTTCTGCAGTAAGCAGTCCAGTTTTGCCAGCACCGTTTGTTGAAGAAGTTGTCATTTCCCCATTTGATGGGTTTTATTTCCTTGTCAAATATAAGTTAACCACAAATAGATGTGTCCATTTCTGGTTTCTCAATTCTGTTCTATTTGTCTATGTGCATGTCATTGTACCAGTACCATGGTGTTTTGGTTACCACTGCTGCGTAGCAGGTTTAGAGGTCAGGGAGTGCTATGCCTCCCATTTAATTTTTGTTTTTCTGAAGTGCTGTGCTTATTTTGAATCTCTTTCCTCTCCAAATAAGCGTAACAAATTCCCTTTTGATATCCTTTAAAAATGAATTTTTCTGTATTGGGGATAGTGTTGAACATGTAGATTGCATTTGGTAGGATTGTCATTTTCACAATATTGACTCTTCCTATCTATGAACATGGAATATTTTTGCATTTATTTGGGTCTTTTATTGTGTCTTTCAGAAATGCTCTGTACTTTTCTTTCTGTAGGTCTTTTGTGTCTCTAGTTAGGTTCACTCCCAACTATCTCAATTTGTGGTTGGCTATTGTAAATGGTATTGCTTTCTTGGTTTCCTTCTCTGAGTTCTCTTTGTTACTGTAGAGGGATACTACTGATTTTTGGATCATGATCTTGTATTCTGCCACTCTACTAAAACTGTCTACTAGCTCTAAGAGATTTTGGGGTTTTCCATGTACACTATCATACTGTCTGCATATAGAGATACTTTAATCATCTCCAATCAGGATATCTTTTATTTTCTTCTCATGTCATATTTCCCTAGCAAGTACTTCCAATACATTATTAAAAAGAAGTGGTGACAGTCAGCATCCTTGTCAAGTCCCTGTTTTCTCTCTCTCTCTCACACACACCCACACACCCCCCCATACACATGCTTTTATTCTCTCTCCATTGAGAATATTACTGGATCTTGGTTTTCCATATATACTTTTCATTACATTGAGGAAATTCCCTTCTGTTCCGATTTTGCTGAGTGTCTTAATCAGGAACAGGTGTTGGATTTTGTCAAATGCCTTTTCTGTATCAATTGTTAGGATCATATGGTTCTTGTTATTTGCTTTGTTAATGTGGTAAAATACGTTGATTATTGAAATTATGTTGAACCATCCTCACAAACCTCTTAAGAATCCCACATGGTCATGATGGATTATTTTTTTGATGTGACTTTGAATTATGTTAGCTAGGATTTTGTTAAGGATTTTTACATCTATGTTCATGAGAGATACTGGCCTATAGTCTTCCTTTTTGGTAATATATTTGCCTTCTTTGGGTATTAGGGTTATGTTTGCTTCATAGAATGTCCCTGGGAGTGTTCCTTCTTTTTCTTTTCTTTCTTTATTTTTTTTAATAACAAGTAGAATTGATGATAGATATTCTCTGAATGTTTAGTAGAATTCAGCTATGAAGTCATCTGGTCCAAGACTTTATTGTGGGGGAGTCTCTTTTATGACCTGCTCAATTACTTCTTTTGTAATGGTTCTGTTCAAGTATTCTACATCTGATTGTGTCAATCTGGGTAGGGCATGAGTTTCAAGGAATTTGTCTCTTTAAATTTTAAAATTTATCAGAGTATATTTTTTATCTTACTCTAAGTGTACTCTATTGCACATAGGGGTTTTGAAGGCCTAATATATTTCAGAAGTGGATGACCTATTCTTTTTCCTAGTCTGTCTTAATTTGAATGCTCAGATTTAGAACAGTCTGACAGATTAGCATTTTACATAACGGAGCAGATGAAAGACAATTATATCAGCAACCAATAGATTCAGTGTTGCCATCCGTCCTTGGCTCATGTGTGACCCACCCCTTTCCATACTCTACCAGTACCCCCTTTTCTCCTGTCTATGCCATTCAGCACCTCTTTCCCCTTATCCCACCCTTGAGATGATGATGCCTTAGATCTCAAGTCTTCTTGGCTTCTGTGATTCTGAATACTTAGCTCTACTGCCAGTTTCTCATGTGACAGCCAGTATCTCTTGAGTTTAGTAGTTTATAAGTCCAAATACCAGGCACTAGTATTAGGGAAGGCTTTCTCTCTCAGACAGTTCTGAGGAAAATTCTCTTTCTCTGAACTTCTACTCTAGGCCTGATCTTGTGGCTCAGTGCCTCTTCTCTTCCGTTTGCAGCATGCTGATAACCCAAGAGTATAATTTCCCAGGAGAGGGTGAAGTATCCTCTAGATCTGGTATGTAAGTGTTGTTTTCTTTTATTACTTTTTAAATTTTAACTTTATTTCCCAAATTTCTATAGTTGATGCTAATTAATTTAGTATTTGTGGTCTAAATTGTTTACTTTTCGAAGTGGTTATTCTATCCATTGATGTCTTGAGACTCCACACTACTAAAGTTAAACTAGTTGATGAAAATATGGAAATTATGTCTATTGGGGAAATTTCTCTAATATATTTTGTTAAACTGACGGCATATAAGTCTTCCCTTAGGTCAGTGCTGCATGGATATGTTAAATGGGAACCATTACAATTGTCTGAGCCCACTCAGGTGGTTAATTTAGTGGATGGAAGGAAATTATTGCTTTGATTAAAGATGTGCTAAAGGAGAGGTGATGAAAGAAAGGAAGACTTTAAACCAGATGGATTGACTGTTGTAATTGGTTCAATAGTGTCAGATATTGTAAAGATGGCATGGTATAGGAGAGGGTTCAGTACTGTTATTTATAGAGTTACTAAAAGTTGTACTTGACTTCACAGCACCTAACAACAACAAAGGCTAAAGTAAGGCATGGCCTATATCGCCACCTATAGGTCCCCTAGAGGCATGGTCTAGGCTTCAATAAAAGACGACTGCATTCCGGAATCTCCAGACATTCCCTTTATGTTTACTTGGGAGAGTCTCCTGACCTAAGCCAACTGCCTCATTACTGCACGAACTTCTTAAGTACCTTTTAGTGAATTAGTAATCCCCAGAACACAGATGAGAGGTTTGGCTTTGGGAGAAAGAAAAGGAACAGTATTTTGTAAAAATGATGGAGTGGTTTAACACAATGAACTTTGGGGAAATTTTTGCCCCCCACCTTTCTGTATTTAATTTAGCAAATTGTTTTTTGTGTTGATAAGAATTGTAAGCTGTTTTGTAGCTAATTTGATACTGATTATTGTGATGCAAAGAATTATAATTTAATATTAAAGTCATTATTATTTGAATATTTTTGTCATACTGACAAGCCTTGTGTGTACTCACAGAATGAAAATAATAGCAAAATGATTACCTTTCCCTAAATTTCACTACTAACAAAATAATGAGCAATAAATAAACACAATAATAAATATGCATTCCCAATATTTGACTATTTTGGAAATTAAATTAGTTGGTCAATTGAAAAATAAACCAGAGAAACATAAGCTTTTTCTGCTTCTAAATCTTCATATAATGTATGACATCTTTCATGATCTTACTTCTGATAGATTAAACATCTTTCTTAAAAAAAATTTACTCGTGAGCCCAGAAAGATGCACAAAAGTGATGTTAAATCAACGTTTTCCTTTAATGTGAATGATGGTGAGAAAAAGACAGAGAGAGAGAGGGAGAGGGAAAGAAAATGAGAGAGAATGAGAAAAGAGTGGATTGAGTGAGTATGAGAAAGAAAAAAAGGGAGCTGAGAAATATTGAATCTTTATACAGGTCAATTAAATACAGAAAACTGAGCAGAAAGCTTGTGCCAGACATTATACTATTGATTATATCCAGAAAGCCATCTGTTCTTTTTAGAAACGCAAGAATGAGATCCTGGATTGAATCAAGAAATGATGCATGAAAACATTTGTTTGATGTAAATTTGGAATTCATTAAGGAAAAATCTGAAAGATTGACCAAGACATTGTTATCTTTAAGATACAAAATGTTGAATAAGACGACCTTGCTTTTACTACTGCCAGATACATCCATAGCTCCTTTTAGAACTTTTAAAAAGAGAATATTTTGTCTGTGCCAACTCCTAGGCAAATGGCTGCTGCTTCCAGCTGTTTGAACAGATTGCTAAAATGCTGTTCTGCTCTGCAAACACACTTTCTGATCCAATTAAAATGCTGGAATCAAATACTCATTTGAAACTTACTAAAAACCAAAAACAAGTTAAGAAGAGTAAATAGTTACTGCCAAAAGAAATACTATGAATATTTCATATACAGTCTTTTGTTCCATTTTAGATGTACTTTATTCCTTTTAGATAATAGTTAAACACTTTTGTCCACTTCTATTAGGGCATAATTAGAATGTGAGATGGTACATTATGCCTTAATTGAATGTGTAGGTCAAGGATAGGTATAAATAACAAGCCTTTATATTTGCATTGGGAAATATATTGTAAAAAAGAATGTTACATCATGCAAGAGTGATTCAAAAAATAGCTTATACCATTGTAGCTTTATTTCTTACAGTCGAAAGAATATTCAGCAAACAGAAGTATTTTTAAATTTAATATTTAGAAATTAATTTTATTAAAAGGAATTTCAATCTTTACACTTGAACATTATGAGTAAGTTTTAATAAAAAATAATTTACCAAATTATACAAACAGTTATTATGTACTGATGAGTTGAAACTGAATCATAATTAACCCTGTTGTGGTTTTTAAAAAAACTGTAAATCACACAGACAGGAGGAGACTATTCATCTTTATACTGTGGAGCATCTGGTGGATCCAAACCACATGACTTTGGGTTGGAAGCACAGCTCCTTATCACCACCGGAGACTAGTCATGTAAAAGTTAACAATTCATTTATAAACTTATATACACATAAGTACTGAATTATGCAACAAGTAATGACTCTCACCTGTGTTTCCTGGGCAATCTGGTCAACATTAGTGAGCAAAGCATCTAGGAACAAAATTTTCAGTGTTATGATCAATTCATTCTTAAAGAAATAGACTTTAAAATATTTCTTATTGATTCTTAATAAACGTTATTTCTTAAAGACTCACCTACCTTTTAAAATTATTATTTTACCTTTTTCACTTACCAGGGCTTGGGTTAGTTGCAATTGCTTTTCATAATACTTGATAGTTCTCTTTGGGCCAATGCATAATACAGCAAATGCAGAGTTAAAAGTATTGCTCCAAAAAAAAAAAAAGTATTGCTCCAGTAACTTAAATTATAAATAACTATTAGTGTGCATTTCCTTCAAAAATTCAATAAAGGAAATGAACTTCTATTCATTTTCCTTTTTCCAAGTTTATGTGTCAAGTAGAGTTGTATAAAATTAACATATAAAACAGCATCAAGGAAAAAATAACCTAAATATAAAAAAGAATTTCACCATGTTTGCACAGAGTAAAAATCAATCATTTTATAGTACTAACCATCATTCAATACTTTCGTGACTTCAAATCACCTGACTCCACTAGTTGTTAGAAAACAAAAATAAACTGACTACAGAGTGGATTTAAAGGTATCCAGTTTAAATTGTTATCTACATATAAAGAATGAACAATAATCTTCTAACCAAAATGTGCTCATTGTTAAATTTTTTAGGCATCTTTGGATATTTCACAATTAGTTTATGACAATCAAAGATATTGCACATATTTTTAAGGAGGTAATTTTAGTTAGCTATTTTAAAACCAGGGACAGTTATGAAAAACACAAGGTAATAAGAAACACATGCTATTATAAAAATGTGTGAAGTAAATATCTGTTAAATTATGCTGTATAACAAATACTGATTTTTGTTAGTTTGTTTTCATATTTAACAAGCTGAAATCATAGTATAAAATGGTTAAAAAGGGAAAGAAACATAATTAAAACAATATACTCCACATAGCAACAATAAACTGCAAACCATATGCTTAAGATGACTTAAGTATGTCTGGTTAAAAAAGAAATACAAGCAATAATAAAGAAAAACAAGAGAAAAAAGTCAACAAATACCTCTTTCTTATAGTGCTACACTCTCTGGCTCACAAATCCCAACTGTGATAATTAACATCCATATTAGCACACCTAGACCTCATGCATTCATTCATTTATCAATTTACGTACTGATTCAGCTGAGTAACTAAGCAAATTCACTACCACTGAGTCAATTCAGATTTATTGCCACCTTATTCTCTACCTATATTTTTTCTTCTATCACTTCAAGGTGACATTGATCTATGAAAATGTTTCTTCATATAATTTTTAACAAAATTTGACCCTCTTATTACAGAAATCTTTTGCTAACTACTTAAAATAGAATAGCATTGACAGACAACAATAATACAATAATATAGGCTAACATTTCACTTTCTGTATGTCTTAGAAATGTTCAAGGCTTGGTTAAAATTCCCTAAAAGTATTCTAAAAATAAAAACGTTAAATCTCTTTCAGTGGGTTTAATAAAACAATATATTTCACATGTGCCAGTAACTAAAAGCTTTAAGTTTCTACGAGAGATAAAAGCCACTTAGACTCAAAAATGTTTCTTAAAAACAAAAGCAAGCAATTGATTTTGAAAGCACCAGACAGACTTCAACTGGAAAATGAGAAATAAGTTAATCAGTAGCTTGAAGGGGACATGCTAAACTAAGCCTATGTCGCATGATCTGAAGATCTGCTTATCCTTGATCACAACCTTCTACTATTACTTTTTTGGGGATTAGTTTACTTAAATCTTGAAAGGTTTTGTGTACTCAGCATTTTTAATACTATGAAGATAAATGGTAGGAAATGGAAAATTAAGCTTTTGTCAACTGTCACCTTCAGAGAAATTATGTAATTGATGGTAATTGAAAATATTTAGCTGGGATTAGAGATTTTAACAACAGTATTATTGAAAATACTAGCAGTTCAGTTTGAGCAATTCTTTTGATTTTAAAAAGCAGTAACATTCGTCTGATGCTATTTATTCCTCAAAAAAGGGATTGCATACCTCAACACTGAATAGGTGCCATATTTTAGAAAAATGAAGGCTATAGAAAAAGCAGATGAATTTAGGAACTGTCAAGATAAAGTGAGGCCGATGGAAATTCCCCACCCCTCCAGACTGGAATTGAAAGTACTTTGCGACTACTGCAATCTTTTAATAGCATCATAGTAAATTATGTATGGGACAATGTGTATCTCTCAAATTAGCATACAACCGAAACTTCTCAATATGCCTCTACCAGGAGGAAATTAAACTAATGATTCAGATATTCTCCACCTGTGTGGACAGTCCAGTTATCTTGAAAAGTTAGTAAGCCATTATTGGGGATTCACTTTACTCTTTAGGAGTCATTTTCACATCCAAAGTTTCTACTTATGATTATCATTTCATGTCCTTCCATACCAAGGTATTGGTCTAAGTCACCACAAAGGCTTCATTCTAAAAAATCAACATTTTTGGTTAACCTTGATTAATGGTATTTATAAATAAAACATCGTCAAGTAAGAACATGATGCTGTAAATTTTAAACAAGTAAATAAGGATGCTTATTTATTGTCCCTCACTTAAATAAATTTCCAAGAATAGCATATTATAAAACAGCAGTATTATATCAGACTAAATTTAAAATTCCCTTTTTATGATGTAGTACCAATAAAATGCACAGTTATAATTAACTATTATCTCAGTTTCAATTAAAATAATAAATACTTTTATTCTGAGAGGCAAAGGAAGATAGGATTATAGTGCAGAAGGAGAAAACTAAGCCACTTTCTGGTAAAATGAGCTATGAACTATCTATAAATGTAATTTGAACTTCATTAGAAGTTTTCTTGTTGATAAAAATAAACACATCCTTGATAGAGAAAATTTTAGGACAGAGAAAATTTTAAATTTGTGTGTCCCTCTTTAAATAGCATTAAGAAAAATATAAAACTCATTTATGTAGCAAATAAGTATTGAATGAGTGAAATCTTCATATGCCCAAAAGTATATGACATTGAAGTCTGTGATTTAAGACTGACCTAGATGTTTCTGTAAACCAAATATATTGCCTTCTCTAACCCACCTCAATTAAAAAGTTGTGTAAAAGATTTGAAACATCCTAGAACCATTAAGGCACTTGAACCTAGAATGCAATTTAGAATGGTATTTATAGTAACACTGTCTGGATATGCTTACTGAATATATTTTATTTTCGATGACACTATAACACAAGAGTTGTTTGCTACAATATTTGCCTAAAACAGAGGCAGCATCATTGTCATTGAAAAGTAAGATACAGTCTCCTCATTTGAAATGACCCATTAACCAAAGGTGATCCTCTGTAAGACCGAAGGAAAACATTTCTTATGTAAGACTTTTTTTTCTTCCCCCTATGGCAACATTCATTTTGTGCCTGATCACAGAACCTGAAAACCCATTCAGACTAGTAAAAGGGATGGCTTCTATATCAGGCTATTTTTTTTTCTTAATCGTTCTATCTTTGTATGATACATAGTTATGTACTGTCAAATTGGAACCAACTCACAGCTGATCCTCTAGTGGAGTTTCAGAGGCTGTAAGTTACACAGGACGAGACTATTAATCTTTATCCTGCAGGGCACGTTGTGGATTCAAACCACCTGCCTTTGCACTGGCAGCACAACTCCTTACCGCTAAGACACTACAGCTGCCATATATATATTTAGGAAGTTTATGCACAACTCTGAATATATAAACCGTGTTTCAGAGGGACAAGACTGCAATATCAATTTCTAATTTCCTATATGTGTTCTCAAAACATTTTTTTTTATTAGAAAGGGGCGGGGTGGATGTTACACAGTGCTTTCCAATATCCACTCAGAATAAGAAAGAGTTGCTTTTCCACTATGCCCATCAAAACTATTGGGCTGAATTAACATCCCATTCATAGACATGCTTCTTTTAGACAACAGTCCACATGAGTTCGGCGAATGAATGTAACAATAGTATTCTTTTAATTCTCCATTCAGGGAGTACCTGCGCCTCACTCTGGATCTCACAGCAGGCAAAGTGAGAAACTTACTTGGCTTTGAATGTGCTCTTTTAGATGCAGGTCCCTCTGTGACAGAATCAGGAGGTCGACTAGCTAACTGCAATGCAGTCGAGTTGTTCCTGTTAGTGTTCTGGGCCTCAATATTTGTGACAACCTCATTCTGCGGTTCGGTACTTGGCTTTGTGCCAGTCTTTCGTTTCTGCTTTTGGAAACCAGAAGTACTTGAAGTCCAGGTAGGAGGCAGAGCAGAGGTAGTGGTAGAGGAGTCCTGACTTGAACAAGTTTCTGAAGGCTGGATAACATTGTCATTGGCAACTTTACAACATTGAGCATTTTCTTCATGTCCCATAGCTTGTTTGGACATGGACTGGGGCAGCGTCACACTGCAGCCTTGCATTTGGGCCCCATTAGTCTGAGAATAAACATTGCTGACCTTGGTGACCTTGTGTTGTCCATTATTGTTACAAACCTTATACCGGATCATAAGGATGATGATGAAAACCAGCACAGACGCTACAATAATTCCACCAATAATAATAATCATGGTGCCTCCCAAAAACTGGGACTGCATGAAATGGCAACGCACATAATCCTGTTCTGTAGTAAACTGGATGCAACCCACGACTCTTGTGGCAGTCAGGGAAGTGATGCCATCATCATATATTGCCAAGACACACAAGTCATACATAGTTCCAGCAGCCAGGTTATTGACAAGAAAAGTTTTGCTCGTAGGAGGTATCATTCTGAGGGACAACGGAATTTGTGTTAATATTTATGACAAAACAAAAAAAGTACACACACAGTCATTATGACTTCAGTTCTGTCTCATTTCAGTACTTATTAAGATAAGCACATTATAACAGATATGAAATATGAGGAAGTGATCTAATCTTATATTTTACCCAGCTAAAGTGATGAAAAGTCATTGTAGGAGTCTGCATTATATTAATGGTGCTGCTCTGTGCCTTGACAAGCCTACTAATTACAATGCTTGGCAAAGCAGAACTCCTAATAAAAGCCACTGCTAAAAAATCATTTATGACAAATTGCTTTTGAAAGGTGTGACTGTGACATTATCTGACTACTAAACAAATCCATTTAGCACTTACAACACCTCTGTGACTAAAAGCCAATTTGAAGGAAGAGAAAACACTGACAATCACATTAGAAACCAGAATGGAAAATGTACTTCCCAGCATATATTTTTTTCCAAAGCAGTTAAAAGCAGCTAGGAGGTCTTACCCACTAAATCTGTCTTTAACAACTAAGGTAATGACTAAGATTAAAGTACTTTATTTGCAGATCTCATGTCTTTCTTATGCCTTCAACACTTAAGTGCTAGTATGTTTGTATTTATAAAGAAAAGGGAGGAAAATGTATGAGTGATATTATTTAGAAACCACCAACTAGCCATAGCTGCTGACCAGAGCATATATCCTTCATATTCATGGGAGGCTGAAGAAAAGTTCCCTAAGAAGACAGGTTTTTTTCCAACTTGATAAAAAATGATAGACATTCTCAATCCAAGATACCTACATTTTTTTTCTCAACACCTATTTTGTACCCACTTTTTTTCTTTACTTTCTGAGTAGTAATCAAATAAAATATTAACAACGACTTCCTTTGGGGAGGGGGGAAGAAGCCAGCTTGGAATTATATTTCCCCCTAAAAAGTATGTTTTAGAAATTTCAAGTTATATCACTGTCAGTCTGTTATAGAACCAAATAAATATTGTGTATTCTAAATGTACCAAGGAACTTTCATGCCTTTGCAGGAATATATTATCCTAAAAGCTACCATTTAATGAGTTTGTGATAATGCCAAGCATTACTGAACATATGCCCATTATAATTTAATCTTTACAAGACTCTCCAAGGTAGGCATTATCACTGTTTTACAGAAGACAAGCCGTAGAGGTAGGAATTTAAGCCATTTGCTCTAGTTACCTAGAATTTACTTCTTATCACAGAGTTAAAAATCTTGAAATTTGGACAATAAAAGTCTGACCTATTTCATAGATCTTAACATATATAGACAATCTAGTAGCTACCAAAACATAGAGGGAATAGAAAGTAATTATCATTGGCAATCCATAAAAATGCCCATAGCCCAGGTGAAGAGCTGGGCCTGACAAGAGCAAACTACTTTATGCTAATATACATGCATCATTGTCTATATCCCTATGCATTTAGTTGTGAGAGGGATATTAGGCACCACTTAGTCTAATCTATTCCTTATAGAGATGAAGAAATTAAAAGTCAGCCATGTAGAACCTTGCTCAGTATTAATCAGACAGGTAGCCTGCCTCGGTTAGTTTTCTTCCTGCCAGCACATGCTCAGTTTTAAAAAATTACTCTCATTTCTGTACATGAGTAACATTTAAATTATCTTCAAGAATTCACCTAGGTATATAAGAAATAAGTTGATCTGATTTCTGAAAAACTTAAAGGAGAAAATTGTTTCAGATCCATGATTTAGCATCATTTTCTATGAATACTAGTATTCCATCACACATGAAATCATATGGAGGAGAAAGACATTTATTTCCAATCAAACTTGGACAAGATGTGACTATAAATCAATGAGGCTGAACTTTAGAAAAACATACCAGAAATTCTCTAGTCAGATTTGCATTTCCCCATTAACGTCCTTATCATATATATAGCCAAATCCAGTGATACTTTCACTGCTCAAAAGACATATTCTCTCTCTTTGGAACTGCCTTGAGAACCCATGGACATGAGACAGCACACACACACATAACTCATTCACTCGGAAAAATCAGTCTCATTATTTTATAGTTACATCCTATTTTTGACCAATAATGGCAATGCCCATCTTGATCACCCACCTTATTCACAAGACTTGTCTCCAAATGGCTTTAGGCTGTTTCCAAAATGCAAATTCACCCTCAAAAGACGAAGATTTGCCACCACTGAGGATATTCAAAACAGTGTGACGAAGGTTCTAAAGGTAATTCCAAAAGTGCTTTGAGCAATGGCAGCATCATTGGGATAATGGTATAGCCTCCCAACGTGACTTCCTTGAAGGAAAGAACACTCGTTTGGATGTGTAAGTTCTGGTATGTTTTTTGAATTTTTAAATATATCAATCTTGTTCTCTGATAGTCACATCTCTTAGATGAGGGGAAGAAAAGTAAGCATGATATTAAATATAAATTTGATATCTAAAAACACCACCATTCAAAATATTTTCCCACATTTCTTCACCTTCACAAGCTTTACATTATACACTTTAAAAAATAGAACAATGTAAATAAAATGCACAGAGTAGTACTAATTTTTTTAAAATCAGTCATACATTAACAGTTCCTAAGTTTAAATGCACAGTAAATATAAAAATGTGCTTTATATTTCTTACCTGTAAACAAGGGTGTCATCATAAGTACCATTGTACTGGATCTGAAACATACGTATTCCAGGGATATTTCTTTGAAAATTAAATTTAAGTAGTGCTGTAGATGATGTTGCTTCTGCCACCACAATTTTATCTTGACTCATCTTTGTATCACCATTACTGCTGCTTGCATTAGAACCTGACTTAGTAGAAGTTGAGATATCTGAAGAACCCGGATCTGGCTCATGGATATGATTTGTACTGTTTAGTAAGTGAGGAAGTTTAATTATGTGTAGATCCATTGTTTGTGTTGCTTCCCCAGCAGGATTGGAAGCAATGCAGGTAAAAGCACCTGTGTCCTTCACAGTTGTTATAAGAATGTCAAGTGTTCCGTTATCATACACCAGCGATCTAGTTGCATTTGAAATGAGCTTCCCTTCTGGAGAAATCCAGTGAATTGCAGGTTCAGGATCCCCTCTGGCTTTGCACCTCAGTGTAGCCCTCTGACCTTCCAGGACTCGCATCTCATGCGTATGGCGAGTAATGAGAGGAGGCTCACACAAAAACTCTTCTTCAGGAATTGACCAAAAATAGCGACCAGTTAAAAGTGCAGGAGAGGCACAAGTCTCTAGGTCATCTTCTCTGGACAGGCGTCTCAACCACAACAATTCACAATTGCAATGCAAAGGGTTTCCACCAAAGCTTAATGCAAAAGTAGATGGGCTTATGATTCCTGAGGTTGCTAGTACCTGAGCTCTCTGAAAGAGAGGGTCAGGTGGCAGCTTCTGCAATTTATTTGATGTTACATCTAGCCGAGTCATCTTGTGCAAGTGGGAGAAAGTCCCCTTGGGAATATTGTCAATCATATTGTGATCCAAACTAAGAGTATGCAAGCTAATCATCTTCTCAACAGCATCCCAAGGAATTGTTTCTAGATTATTATAGGACAGATCCAGTTCTTCAAGGGCAAAGACATCATCAAATGCTGTAGAAGAAATTAAAGTCAGCTGATTGTTGTTCAATATCAAGTGATGGAGATTGGAAAGCCCACTGAACATATCATTTGTAATTTTAGTCAATCTGTTGCTATTTAAATGCAATGCTCTCAAATTTCTCAAGTCAGCAAAAGCATGAGGTGTAATAAAACTTATTGTATTCCTGGACAGAGTCAGGTCCACCAAGCTGGTCATATTGGCAAAATCTTTTCTTTTAATATTTGTAACAAAATTGTCTGCCAATCGCAGTTCCACAGTTCTTCTGTCAATGTTTGGTGGAACAAACAGAAGCCCTTTCTTGGCACAAAGGGTTGCAAGATTAGGAGACAAAATCTGACAAACACAACGCTTTGGACAGATCTGAGCTTTCACTGCTATGCCAATGAAAAACAGATAAAAAAGAAATTTTTCCATTGTAGATTAGGTTTAAGAGCCTGTAAAAAAAGGACACAAATAAAAGGGAGTCAGCATTCAATCATTTGATTCATGTTTCTGTACTTATTGGAATGATATATTTCAAACAAACTGGAATATAAAAAGAACATATTCATCTATGTACATAAAAATAATAAATAACTACACTGTAAGGGTGAATAGAATGGCTCTTAAGTAATAACTAACTTACCATTCACGATCTCTTTAGAATTAAAATTGAATGGGGGAAAATGAGGGTATCACGATGCTATAATAATTTTCCAAGTTAAATGGCACCTTTGACATATGTCTCATGCACTCTACTGCACATAAATAAAGCAAATAGATTGGAGGCCTGGGAATTCAGGAAAACTTCTGCTAAACTCTGAAGGACATCTTGTCAGATAAATATCTTTTGGTGTAAAGACATATTTAAGAACTTAGATGTAGTTGATTAAACTAGTCCAGATGGAAAAAATAAGGGGCAATATTTGCTATTTACTTACTTTTGTGGCATCCTCTGAAGATAACTATTGATTAAATTTGCTTGTCTTTACAAATTATTTTGATATAGCACAACCCTAACACCCTTACTGAAAATAAAAGATCTTTTGCTTCAAAATAGCAAAGCTGCAAATTAACCATAAATATCAAATTTACTAAATGAGAATTTTTATGTCAGAAATAAAAGTGTATGTTTGAAAATAATTTATTAAAAGTTCTACAATATTTGAGAACATTAACAATACACAATTTTTAATTTATCTTCTATTAATAACTTAATTCTCTATTGTATCCAAATTTATTTTTAAATAATAACCATTTTGGTAATTTTGTTTGCCAGTTAGATGTCAAGTATTGATATTTAACACTTAAAAATAAAAATGCCAATTTATATATGATTAGTTCTCATAAACTGCATAAATACTAAGAAGGCAACAAGAGAAAACAACAATATTTTAACTTAATGCAAATATGAAATATGTAAATATGTAGTTTTATGAATAAAATAAACTTTCAGAAGTTTGACTTATATCTAATTTAAATGTGAAAATAACGAATAAGAATGATCATCCTTACAAAATGAAGAGTGTTCCTCTTCATAACAGAATAAGTAGCATTAAATGTAATGTCTTACAATAGCAAAGTATTGATCGACAATTTAATATATTTTATGTACAATTTTCAGATATTAAAAAAACAGGAGGCAATTACTATGAACCTGGAGAGAAGAGAATCAGAGAAAACAAACCCTGTGGTGGCACCTAAAGACATTTCATAAATTATAGTACAAATAGGGAAAACAGAGCAAACTTATTATTGTTGTTGTTATGTACCACCGAGTTAGAATCAACTCCTAGCTGACCCTTCATAGGGTTTTCAGAGGCAGTAAATCACACAGGAGGAGACTGCCCATCTTTCTTCTGCAGAGCAGCTGAAGGATTTAAACTGCATGACTTGATAGTGGCAGTGCAAGTCCTTACCGTTAGGCCATTTATTGTTAAGTGCAGTCAAATATAATACAACTCATAGGGACCCCATGAATGGCTGACATGAATCCTGCCCTATACTGTGCCATCTTCATCATCTCTAATACACTCTGGCTGGGGCCACCATATCGATCCATATTATAGGGGATTTTCCTCTCCTTAGCTCACCTTTCATCTTTCTAAGCATGATGTCTTTTTCTAAAGAATAATCTTGCTTAGCTACATGTCCAAAATATGAATGATGAAGTTCACCATCCTTGCCTCCCAGGGGCATAATCTCCTCCTATGTAAATTACTGCCTCTGAAAACCTGCTAGAGGGTCAACTATGAACAGGTTTCGACTCAGTGGCACACAATACACACACTAGGCCATTAGAGTTCTCTAAACAAAGCTTAGACAGTATTATTAAGTTAAAGAGTTAGAGCTCAGAGTATACAGATTTTAAGTGACATGAATGTGTAGGATATATAAGAGAAGATTACCAGAGTTAAAACTACCAGTAATATTCACAGGTATCCTTTTTAGTCTTTGGATGAATTTTATACTCTGGCAGTCAGCCTGATTGGGGTGGGGGGGGAGAAAAAGAGCAAAACAAACAGCAAGTTAAAATACTAGTTAAAAAACATTTACCATTTAGCTGTAGCTAAATAGGACTAAGATTGTCTTGGGTTTGATAACACAGAGGGAACAAAACCTGTGTCATGTAGGAAAATATTAAGATATCAACATTATATATCATTAGAGTATCAAAAGAAAGGTGGAACTTAATTATTTTTTAAATTAAGGTGGAAAAGTTTCCAAATTTAATAAATAATTCAAGTTCAATGATCATGAAACATGGACAAATACAAAGAAAACTAAAAATACATGTTATGATAAAATTAATATTAAAAACAGTCACAGAATAAGACTGCATTGAAAGAAACAAAATAAGTTCTGATTACTTGCTAATTTCTCTTTGGAAATAAAAATGAAGCAAGATGGAAGAAAATTTTAAAAATTAAAGTGCTGAAAGAAGTGAAAGTCTGCTAATAAAGGAGAGATACACATATCTATATCTATGATTGAGTGAGCTGTACATTTATATATAAACTGTGGTGGCATAATGGATGAGTAATTCTGCTGCCAACATAAGGGCACAAGGCTCAAATTCATCAGCAAAGTTCCATGAGAGAAAGGTGGGTAATCTTCTGTAAGATTTAGTTTCTGAAAACCTGCTGACTCATGAGTATATCACAACAACAACAACATAATAAAGAAAAATACCAAAGTCATATTTAGAAAAAGAAAATAGATTACCAATAGACCTGTGCTATAAGAAAATTTCAAGGAGTTTTATTCAAGCTAAAAAAAAATTCCAAAAAACAAAAACCCACAATAAAACTCCTTCAGAAGGAAGTCCACATTTTTTTACAGTTAAGAAAGACAGAAATTGTAAAACCATAAGTAAATATAAAAATATAGCCTTGTTGTATAGTAGTTTAAATGCTGGTTTCCAACAAGAAGAAGTTACTTATGATCATCAAAAAATATTTATGTTCCCAGTCTGTAGGATTTCTTTTCACCTTATTGGAAAAAGTTTTTGATATGCAAAGGGATTGAATTTTTGGAAGGCCCCATGCATCAATTTTATCCTCTTTAGATTGTACATTTCTGGTTGTATTTGGCAGAGTCTTTATACCTTGCACTAGTGCTTCTAAGCTTGATCCCAGTTTGTCTCTTATGAATATCATGGTCTGGGGCTATACTCCCAGGTCTCTGATGCACCTTGAGTTGATTTTTTAATATGGTGTGAGATATGGATCCTGTTTCAGCTTTCTGCAGGTGGAAGTCCAGTTTTGCCAGCACCATTTGTTGAAGAGGGTATAATTTCCCCATTTGATAGCTTTGATTTCCATGTTGAATATCTGGGTCTATTTCCTTAATTCTGTTCCATTGGTCTATGTGCCTGTTATTGTACCAGTGCCATGCTATACTGGTTACCACTGCTGTGTAGTAGGTTTTGAGGTCAGGGAGTGCTATGCCTCCAATCTCATTCTGTTTCTCAGAAGAGTTTTGCTTATTCGGTGTCTCTTGTCTCTCCAAATAAATTTGATCATTTCTTTTTCAATCTCCTTTAAAAAGGAATTTGGTATCTGGATTGGTATTGCATTGAACATGTAGATTGCTTTTGGTAGGATTGTCACTTTCACCATATTGAGTCTTCCTATCCATGAACAGAGCATATTTTTCCATTTCTTTAGTTCTTTTATTATGTCTTTCAGAAATGCTCTGTATTTTTCTTTGTATAGGTCTTTTGTCTCTCTAGTTAGGTTCACTTTCAAGTATCTCAATTTGTGGTCAGCTATTGTAAATGGTATTGCTTTCTTGGTTTCCTTCTCTGAATTCTCTTTGTTACTGTAGAGGAATCCTACTGACTTTTGGATATTGATCTGATATACTGCCACTCAGCTAAATTGGCCTATTAACTCTAACAGAGTTTTTTTGTAATACCATCAGACAAGAGTCTTATAACAAAAGATTACAGAATACCCCTGGGCCTCTACAAGAAAAAGACTGATAACTCATTACAAAATGGGCAAAAGACATGGAAAGCATTTTCACAGAGGAAGATATTCGAATGGCAAAACAACACATGAAGAAATGCTCCAAATCTCTGGCAGTAAGAGAGATGCGAGTCAAAACCACAATGAGGTACCATCTCACTCCAGTAACAGTGGCAAAGTTTAACAGGGCAGCAAATAATAGATGTTGGAGAGGATGTGATGAGAAATGAACTCTTAAATGTTGGTGGGATTGTAAAATGGTGCAACCATTCTTGAAGGCAGTTTGGTGCTTCCTCAAAAAGCTGAACATAGAAATTCCATATGACCTAGCTATTCTACTACTTGGAATATACCCTGAGAATATGAGAACTGAGGCATAAACTGATATTTATACACCAATGTTCATAGCAGGATTATTCACCATCGCAAAAACATTGAAACAGCCCACAGGTCCAACCACAAAAGAACGGATTGAGAAATTATGGTACATTCACTCAATGGAATACTATGTAGCATGCAGGAGCAATAACTTTGTAAAATATTACCTAACTTGGGAGGGACTGGAGAGCATTATGCTGAGTGAACTAACTCACGTCCACAAGGATAAATATTGTATAAAATAATTATTGTAGAATGAGTATAAGGATCCAGGAAGGTGGGAGAAGCTGGAAGCAGAGGGATGTGGATGTGTAGGGGGAAGGGGAGATTAATAATTAGGTTGTACAATTTTATGGGTGGGGGGATGAGGGAAATTAAAAGAATTTGTTCAAATTTGTATTCAAGTTTTGTAAATAAACTTGCTGTTGTTATGTGTCCTTAAGTTGCTTGCAGCTCATAGCGACCCTATATACAAAATCCCTAAACTCTGCTCTGTCCTGTGCCAATCACACTGTCTCTGACACTCCCATCCCAATTACCCCAGTCACTGAATCAATCCACCTCATAGAGGGCCTTCTCCTCCTGAGCTGTCCCTCCACCCTCCC